CACCGTTGAAATAAATTTCTAGGCCCAAGATGGAGCTGCTCCTGTCCAGGGTGCCACATCACCAAACCGAAACTTGGGTAACTTTTGTGTCTCTGTAAATGCTATGCTTGACCAGAAAAGCAGTCTATCTAGTCAGCCAGTCCTCAAATGCCAAGCCCACTCTGGGCCTCCTCACCCCAAACAAGATTGATTATGTAGCCCCAGCCAACCAGATATTTTCTATTTTTCTCCTCCTTGTTCTTTATTCTTTATCCTATAAAAGCTTCCTGCCTCTGCCCTATTTTGCAGTCCTCTGAATGGAGACTATCCACTTCACGAAGTGTTAAAAGTTGTTTGTATCAGCCAAATTGTTTTCTTTAATCATTTTCTAACACCAGGCATCTCTTTTCAGGGCTGATTCTCCCTTTTAATGCTTCTGTATCTTATCCTAAGTTGACTTTTGGGAAGTTAACCATTTTTTATGTACTATCCCCTTCCCTAAGCATTAGGTACCATATATGAATCTCCTACATGCCAAGCACTTACACTTGTTTCATATAATCCCCACATTGCAAGCCCTATAAGGATTTTAGAGATAAGAAAATAGAGACTCACCGAACCCAAGCGTTTGGCAAGGAGCACTCTTCTAGTAAAGGCTTTGACCCCAGGCCTGTCTGTCTCCAAAGCTATGTCCCTTCCTCCATGCTACACTTGGGAGGAGAGGGATCCACTCCTCTCGAGCTTTGAGCTCCATCTTCCTCATCCTCTGCAGTGGATGGTGACAGCGGAGCAGGCACTGATTTTTTTGTAGCCTTGGTTTCATACAGAATGTGGAACTTCAAGTCTCCCAGTTTCTCTCAGTGTCAATTTCACACCCGTAAACCGGACATAACTATTCCAGACCAGCTTGCCTCAGAGGAGTCATATGAGGACCTATGAAACAAAAGTTTGCTTTACATGAAAGTAACTGGCCCCTCGCAGGGGATTATGGGGCAGGGGGCAGGGGGCACGGGTCGGGTGGAGAAATTAGGAGGGTCTTAGAAGACTCACCTGTTGTTGGGAGTTCAGGCAGGTGCAGAATGCCAGTAGAATCTCAACGATACATTTTCTCCAGTGGAGTCAGGCAGACAACTGAGGCCCCACCCAGAGAGGCGGTGATGTCAGTTCAGGGAGTACTGTAAATTAGTGTGGTTTTCTGCAGTTAGAATAATGCGGGACTCACACTCCTTTTTTGTGTGTGTGAAGAAGATCAGCCCTGAGCTAACATCCGATGCCAATCCTCCTCTTTTTTGCTGAGGAAGATTGGCCCTGGGCTAAAATTCATGCCCATCTTCCTCTACTTTATACGGGATGCCACCACAACATGGCTTGACAAGAGGTGCGTTGGTGCGCACCCAGGATCTGAACCTGCGAACCCTGGGCCGCTGAAGCGGAGCGTGCGAAATTAACCGCTGGGTCACCGGGCCGGCCCCAGGGACTCACACTCTTGCCTTAAGAATCATCTGGCTTTGGGCTAAAGTAGAGAGAACTGCGCAGCTCAGAGAACAAAATATCAAAATTTTGGCTCAAGAGAGAATCACTATTACTAATTTTTCCTTTTTCCTCAGTCTCTAATCTGACGTGGCATGGCATCTCTTTATTGAAAATTTTGATGTTTTGTCCGTCATGATTCTTTTGCCTCAGCTTTGATTTTTTTAAATATTGCACAAAAATATTATTTACCTAGATGGCTGAATTTTTGGGTGCTCCCTTAAATTTTGTGCCATGGGGAGTGCCTCACTTGCTTCACCCTAGGCCCTGAAGATGGGGTACGAGTCACAGCTGAGGAGGCATCGGTGCGGGTCACACAAATACTCAGTTGGCTGAGACCAACTTGTCGGACAAGTCCAACTTGTCCAACTCAGTTGGACTAGTTTAAAGCCCGGGTGTCCACTTCTGGCTCCGATGTAAATCGTTCTCCTCTTCAAGCGCTGCTGCTACAGCCATGCCCCAAGCCCCGCCACCTCTGTGAGAATTAGAAAAAAACAACTCTTTCTCAAGACATACTGATTTCATTTAAAAAATGCACTTTATTTTTTTACCAGAAAACTGTAGTAATAAATACAGGCAGTCATAATATTTGTCACATGGGTGGCACTCCCTCAGATGCGGTGCCTCCGGCAGGCCACACCTGTGAAGGAAAGAATGTGCTGCCCCAAAATATGCCTCTTTGGCATAAGGATTGTTCTGAATTGATAATTTTTAAGAAATAGCAGACACAGGGAAAGCTCTGAAAACAACTAGAAGTTACACTTTTGTAGGAGACATTTACATTCACATTTATAAGGAAAATCTCCATTTGTAAGGGTGTCTCCCTCTCTGTACCAGGAAGAGGAGGATGACTAAATCTCTAGAAATGTGTTATCAATGGAGAAGGTGTGGACTTAAATCTGCAGAACAGCCATACCCTCAGTTACTGTGCTTTGCCTGATAACCTCTCATAACTGCCCTCCTCCCCCTACTGTCTTCTTTTGTCTTTAGCTGGAGATGGTATATAAGGCGGTGGCTTGGGCCATTTCGGGGTGTTACTCAGTTTTCCTGGGTCTGCCCCATGTATACAGGAGGTATATATGTTATTAAACTCCTATTTGTTTTTCTCTTGTTAGTCTGTCTTTTACTACAGGGGAGTCTCAGCCAAGAATCTAGAAGGGTAGAAGGAAAAGGGTTTTTCCTCCCCTACACCTGCACAGCTCCACGTGGAGGACAACACAGCCATCCTCCTGGTTCCTCAGCGTTAGGGGACTGCCTCCTATTTCCAACCTTCATTTCCTCTCAAGTCAGTCTCAGACTGTTCTCTTGGTCCCCTCCTCCTTAGTTTTTTTCTTGAAGACTTATTATCTCTTACCTTGACCATCTTATATCTGAAGGTTTTTTTTTCAAATATTTTCTCTTTTCACAATTTTTTTTTTTTTTTTTTTGTGAGGAGATCAGCCCTGTGCTAACATCTGCCAATCCTCCTCTTTTTTTGCTGAGGAAGACTGTCCCTGGGCTAACATCTGTGCCCATCTTCCTCCAATTAATATGGGACACCACCACAGCATGGCTGGCCAAGCAGCTCATTGGTGCATGCCTGGGATCCAAACCTGCGAACCCCGGGGCGCCGCAGGGGAGTGCCCACACTTAACAGCTTGCGCCACTGGACCGGCCCCTCTTTTCACAAATTTTAATACACATTTCTTCCCCTTACTTCTGATTAAGTTAATTCATATATCGGGACCCACAAAATGGATGCCGCCCCAATGGCCCAGCCCACATCATAAATTGAAACCTAAGTCAGCCTGCACTTATGAGAAACACCTGTCAAGGAAACCTAACATACACCAATCCCAGTCCTCCAACTCAGCTTAGCTAGCTTACCTTACCCTAGAAAAAAGGACCACCTAGCCTTACAGGGAAATCCCCAACCTCCTAGCCAATCATGTGTGGCCTCTTCTAACGCTCTATAAAACTCCCCCTTGCCCAAAATCCCTCAGGAACTGTGCTCCACTGCTTGTGAGGCACTGTACTCCCCTAGTCCATGGATTGTTTCCCTTGAATAAAGGACATCAAACCTGTTACTAAATTGTTTTAGTTTTGTCATTTGACACTTAACCCCCCCAGACCTGGGACATCAGATCCCTTCCCAACATCTCCACTCAAGACCTGTGTCCCGGAACACATCAGAAGCAACCCTCCCCCTCCTCCTGTTTTTCATTTCATTGAAAAGAAGGTGAAGTCTATGGAGGCAGGGATCATGTCTGTCTTATTTGCCAGAATGACCTAGCAGAGGTTCTCAATAAATATTTGTTGAATGAATTAAGGGGCTTTAAACGTTTGCATGCAACCACCCCCGACTCCAAGTCTCTTATAACAGATTTGAAATGTGTCTTCAGGCTCAGTTTCTTCATTGGGATGGGTTCCTGTACAGCCCTAAGGCTTGGGGTTCTCACGTGCAGCACAAAAGTGTAAATGAAGCTGGGGCAGTAATCCTTGTCCTTGGGTCAGGCATGCTGAGTTTCTGAAGCCAGGTACCTGAGAATTACTGTAGATATTCAGTAAGAACATGATTGCCTTTAAGAGAAGTTAGTCTTGTCAATTTGCTGTTTTCCTATTTAACTTGAGGGGTGACTCAAGGGTCGTGAGGATTTGTAAGCTTGTTTGCAGAAGAAAGAGAATGCCTTCAGGGTGGTTTCCATCACGTGATGGCTGGCCCCCAGCTGCCATAGCCGGAAGTCAGATTGCCCAGGGGCTTATCAGGAGGGATCCCTTTGTTTCTCTGAAGCTCCTCCTGCCATGCGCCCTAGCCCCCTAGCCAAACTCCCCTGCTTTCTGCTCTTGTTAAAGCTGATTTCAGAGAACCCATGCTCCTGCTTTCTCGTTTTGGCCAGTTTGAATAAACCTTTCTCCGTTTCCAAGCACCTGATGTCTCAGTGATTGGTTTACTGCGCATCAGGCACACGAACTTGAGAGTAAGAGGTTCAGTATCATTTCCATCCAGCCAAACCCAGTCTTCCACCTGTTTTCTCTGTCCTTGTGCACTTTGACCCCAAGTCCATATCTCATCCTCTGGGTGTTGAGAATCTGCAGTCAGGTGTGCTGCAACTGCCCATGGAAGTAGTTCATGAGGGACCGATTTCACAAGAGCAGAGAGTGTGTCTGACCAAAATCAGTGTGAGCTCAGCGCAGTGCCAGGCACAGTTGATAAGTTGGTTAATAAATCCATTTCTGGCTTCTGTTTCTGCTTCTGCTGGGAATGTCTGCCTTTCTGAAGTTCTTGCCCTCTTAGCAACCAGACCCTTGGTATATTCTGACCTCCAAGCCCTAGGATGGGAGCGGTCATTCATAAGTGTGAGATGGCGTTTACATCTCACCAGAGACACTTCGAAGACCCTTGCTTGAAGTTGGCTGATAAATTCACAATCACATTTTGAGGAAGGGATAGTCACACATTCTGGGTTTGAGGAGATTTCTCAGCAGTGGGTAGAATCAGAAACTCTTAAATCTGAAAGAGCATACGGGATAGTTCATTCTGGAAGGAAGTCAGTGTTCTTCATTCTTCCTTGGTATTTCTGGTCAAGTCAGTAAATTCTTTTGACTGTTTTCTTTGGGGCAAGACAGGAGGGAGTACACTGCTGTTTAGGTGGCATTCTCATAGGTAGATAGGTTTGGTGAGTCTGGTGACCTGGGCAGAGAGTGATGTTTCTCCATCTGTTAGGCAGACAAAGATGCAGAGCACTGGAGGTGGGCGGGGCTTTGGATCCCCCACAGGAGACCCCACCATCCCAGACACTCTTCATTGCTAAGGTTGCCCAACCCGAACCTCTCGCTGTGCTTACTCTCACTGTTTAATCATTCTGACTTTAGAGAAACTATTTCTTAAGGGTTAACTCACATTTATCATGTTGAATGCTTAATGAACTGAACTTTCCTGGCAATAATCCATCAGAACTAACCTTATTACTAAGCAAACTGCTTTACCCATCCTCAACTTTTCTGATCTGGTTGGAAGAGGAGACAGGAAGGTATCACTGCTTCTGCCAAGCATAATCTGTGAAGGAATAAGCTTGAAAGCTTACTACATTAGCAGTGTGACAGGGGAGGGTGCAAACCAGATGTAACATAGCTAGACTGTGGAAAAGAAAAGGAAATCTCTGCTGCCTCCAGTTTACTGGTGGCTCAGAAGCAAGCTGGAGTTGCCGCCCCAGCTCTCTCTCTGCTGCCAGGCACAGCCTAAGCCATAGACTTTTTCCCCATCCATGCCATCAGTCAGGATCTTGATTTGCCCTGTCATTCCTACTCTCCTACTCTATTTGTTCCACGTTGCCCCCATTCAACTCCACGATTCTCTTGTAGTCCCCATATTCTTGTGCAACCCTAAGCAAAGGGAATGGGGACACAGTGGGGTACCTTCTAGTACTAAGAAATATGAGATCCCAGGGGCCCAAGAAAATGTAAGCTAAGCTTGAACCAGGAGAAAGGATGGCACAACTAAGATGAAATTCAGCTCTAAAGAATCTTACCTTTGGGGGTATTTGCACAGTGAAATAAAGCGTATTCGCTGGATTTTCCTCCGGAGTAGTTTTCTATTAAAAAACAAGTAAACAAAAGAAATCATCACCCACCTCCTGGGTCACATAGACAAGGCCAAAGAGACACCGAGAATCCAGAGAAGGGAAAACAGAGGTGGAAGGAGATGGCGAGAGGGAAGAGAGGGTTCTGGAACAGAAATGGTTAGTGGGAAGTGCTCTTGTCTGTGACTGCTATTATAATTATTAATAATTTTTTTCAAGAAGCAGTTGCATTATTTTAAAACTGTTGTGTTTAAATGAATTAAAAATATATAAGAGATATAAGTCCCATGAGCTATGAGCCTCCTAAGGAAACTAAAAGACAATTTGAGGTAATATTACTAATGCTACAAATAAAATTTTCAATCAGTCAGAAGGGCTTTTGGAGCAAATCAGTAAGGGTGACTGATGAGTCAAAAGCAAACAAAACACCAATGATAGCAACAACAAAAGGTCCTTCCAGGCTCAAGGAAAATATCCTGGATTGGTGAAGTTTATTCCTGAGCATCTAGGACAGTCCTGTGGTCTCTTGGGAATGTGTCTGAAGCAGGGGAATAGGAAGGATGGTGATAAAGTGATCAATTTTGACAGAAGCCTGGCTGAGTGAGCACAGAGCAATCTCCCCTGTGAGGAAGGAAGGAGCTCTCAGGAGACTAACAACTTCAAATAGGAAACTTAACATCTCCTCTCGGAAAAGTTGTAGGTAAGTGTAGGAAGATTCAACCTGATTAGGGGACCCCAAAGGCTGGAATAAAACTGAGATTTTGAGGCTCCAAAGTGTTTCTATTTCTCTATTAAATGGACCAACGTGGAAAAGCGCTGTATGACCTCTAAGGAGTTAGCCTGGCCTGGGCTATAATAATTGTTCCCGGGGGCCCTTTTCAAGTTGTCTACCTAGTTCATGTCTCCAAATTGTCTCCTGTTATTTGAGTTTCTTTAATCTTTACTCTTATGATTTTCTTTTCAAAGAGTTTCCTTTGAATTAACTTTGGGTTCAATCACTTCAGCTCAGTGACCCACACTTGGGAAGACTTGAATGTGGGCCCAGAGCTCCCATGGGCCCTCAGAGCCCTCTCCTGATGGCTCCTTGAGTAGCCTCAGAGGAAAAGGCATCTCTAGAGCCAGTCTTCTGTCACCATAATTCAATCATATCCAAGTCACACTTCTTTACTCGCTGTCCTATGCAAAAGGAATGGGGCTTGTTGAGTGCCCTGTGTGAACTGTGGAGGGTAAGGAACAATTCCATAGATCACAGTGTGAGCGTTACTGGTTGGATCAGAACCAAGTGCTACAGAGGCCACAAACTCCTGCATAAGAGAATCCATAAAGACTTAGGGGAAATACAGATGAACTGGATTTCAAGGGCTATACATCTTCATCTTCTATGTTGCCCAAATTCATGGAAAAATCTCCGGTAAAACCAGGAGGGCCTCAGAGAGGAGGATCAGGCCCCAGGAAAGATGGGAAAGACTCACATTACGGTGAGAAGTTGTGGCATACTCTGAGGTCTCTCCAGAAGGGGGGTTGTGGTTAAAAGTTTCTTGATGAGTGTCCATTCTATTCTTCTCTTCAACGAACTCTGAAACTGAGTTGGGAGAGAATCAGAGCTGGCCCTTCCTTCCACTCACCACCCCCACTGGCTCACCACCTTGTCTCGATGACTATTTACGATGACCAACCATCCTGGTTTCCCTGTAACTGAAGGATTTTCCCAGACATAAGACTTTCAGTGCTAAACCTAGGAAAATCCCAGGATGAACTGGTTACCCTTGTCACTTCACTTCCCAATCTCTGGACCAAGGCAGCCAAAAGGGGAAGCAAAGATGGTCGGAGATGGTTTCAGAGTGCTTCCAAGAGGGAAGGAAAATTTTAAAGTCTGCAGTTCATACCCGGCTGATGCTTATGTCCCTCCCCAACACCCTACATGGACAGTATCAGCAGGAACCCGAGAAGACAAATCAGCAGGGTTTAGGGACACAAAGCATGGGGTGTGGCATGGAAAGAGACAGAGACAGGCTTCTCCAGGTGGAATGTGTCTAGACTGAGGGGAGTAGTAAAGAGAAGTCTCTGGAGTTGATCCAACGGAGAGGACTAGGACTCGTTTTGGGGGTTCTGACAGGGATGGGAATTGGAAGTGCTGACTGAAGGGTACTGGTCTGTGAGACCTCAGAGTTGGAGGTCATTGCTTCCCAGATCGGGGGAGCAGAATCAGCATTGTGGGACCTGTGTCAACAGGAAGGCCACACCAGTAAGTTCCTCTGGGGGAAGGAAAGGGGTGGGCACTGGAGAGGGAACTTGGAGGACCTTGGCCTTAGGAGAGAAGTTAAGGACTCAAGCACTCTCCTTACTCCAGAACTAAGGAGCACAGGCTGTTGGTGCTCTCCTTGAGGACAGAAACCATGGCCTCTTCATTTCTGTATCCTTACCGCCTAGCACAAAGCCTGGCACACAATTAAACACATGCTTATTGAATAAATGAGGGAGAAAATGCATAAAGGAGGGTGAAGATAAAAATAGTAAATGTTCTACCTTTTCCTCTTTCTCTCCGCATTATCAAAATAACTGGCACAAGTGCAACGGCACTGAGCAGGAAGACCACCACCAGGAGCTTCAGGAAAATGGAGGCAAGTGGGTCTCTAAGAGCACCTTTAAAGAGAGAATGGGTGGAGAATGAATAGGTGGAGGGAAAGGAGAAGAGTTGCCTAGGGAAAATGACCCTACTTTTGAGTAATTGCCACCTTCCTCCCAGTCTGGTGACTTCCCAGGGGCCTCCAGTTTTCACACAGGGCCTATTCCCATGGGGACCTGGAGCTAAAGAAGGTATAAGTCCTGAGACCAGAGGCTCTTGGAAAAAGAGGAGAGACAGTCACCTTCACAGAGCTTTTGGGCAGAGACAGGGTTTGAAGAGTTGCTGCTGATGGGGTTCCTGGCCTCACAGATGAAGGTCATGTCCTTTTTCCCCAGCCTCCAGGATATGGGGAGGATGGAACCATAATGAGACTCATTGGTTGCCTGCCCCAGGGACTTCCAGCTGTAAGTCACATCCTCTCCTCCCTCTTCCACAGAACACGTCAGATTGGTCACACAGGTGCCATTCTTAATGTTCTGCAGACCCATGGTGACCTTGGGCTTTGATAGGTGCTCTGTAAAAGAGAAATGGACAACCAAGGGTGGAAACTATGCCTATAGCCCTCCTTTTTCTGAATTATTCTTGTAAACCTTGGACCTGAATCTCTCTGGGGTGCTACACAGTGGAGAGTAAGCAGCAATTCAGAGCAGAGTTTTCATTCTTATCTAGGAAAGAGAACTATCTAGGTCTGCTTGCCCACAGCTAGATAACAACAACAATAGTGATAGAAATAATAACAATGTAACAAGAATCCAGCTGCCATTTACTAAGCACAGCCAGATGGCAAGCACTGTGCTAAATGCATTTTAGGTGCTGGCTAATTCTATCTTTTTAGAGGCTCCCTATGCCCCTGTCCTCAGGTTCCTTGAAGAGACTTTCACTTCACTCTCCAAGAGAGAATAGTATTGGAATAACACTTCTGGTCTCCCTCTCTACCTTGTGCCCACTCCTCTCCCTCAGAGGATGAGCAATTTGTTCATTGCTGAGAGCATGAGAGTCTGGCATCCATCATATACATTTCTCTACTCACGGATTTGAGCTATTAAGATCGCTGTTTAAATATGATTTGCCCTTTTTTTCCCTCCCCCAACCAGTTTGCTCATAGAATGCATGCCTTCTGTTCCTTTCAACTATGTCTATAGGGAGGACACACCTGGATCAAGGTGCATGGCCTACCTCCTACAAGCAAACCTGGATGCCCATCTCCTTGTATCCCTGATCTTGCAGCTCAGTGAGTGAGGTAGCTATTCTTGTAGCTGGTTGAGTAACTGTTTTGTAAGATCATCTTCTTTGAATGGGCTCCAAGGTCTAGACTTGGGGGAAAGTATTTCTCCTACCTAGTATTACCTGAAAACCTAAAGCTGATATTTTTATCTTCTTTCTAATTCTTGTGTCAATTTCTCAATTGTTTGGAATGTGTAGGGGAAGAGGTGTGATTAATGTTTACACCCAATAATCTTTTTAAGATAGGTATCACTTTCCTCCCCATTACAAATATGGAAACTAAGTTTCAAAGAGATTAAGTAACTTGGCTAAGGCCATGCAACTAGTAAGTAGAGATGCCAGCATTTGACCTGTGTGATCACCACTTCCCATATCGCCTATCCTCTGTCTCTCATTGCCTCTTACAGAATCTCTGAGTAGAAAAAGACCTTGTAGGGGTCAGCTACATCTACTTCATCCATGCAAGAGTTCCCTCTTCCACATTCTTGCTGAGTGTTTATCCAGCCTTTGCTTGAACATCTCCAATATCACAGAGTTCACCACTTTATGAAGGTAGTCATCCACCTTTGGAACCGATTCTGCTCACCGTAGACATGCAGCCCATACTCCTGGATGAAGGGATCCTGGAGGGATGAGCTGTGTATCTCCACACGGTAGGCACCTGAGTCATTCTTCTTCAGTTTGCTGAGCGTCAGGGAGTAGTTTCCATGCAGGAAGTCCACCCTTTCCCTATTACGATTTTGGGTCACTATGACATTGGCTTGTCTGCCTGTCGTATTCGGCTGTATGGTGACGAGAGTGGTTGTGTTGAATATCCAGATAATGCTGTCAATCTGATTTACTGAGTGCTTCAGAGGGAAAGTCACAGTCCCACCAAGGGCACCAACCAGCTCCTTAAGGGTTCCAGAGGCTGCTGACCCTGCAGACAGAGAGAACCATAAAATAAAGCTGAGTCCCTGCCCTTGCCACCAATACACACCCTCTTTGGATCCTGGAAAGTTCCCAAGAAACCCTCTCAGGCCAACCCAACCAGCCCCTGGGAAACCCTTTGGAACATCACACAAGGGCATTGAGCTCAGAACTCTCTGCCTGAAAGGGGTGACTACAGGTGAAGCCATCCCATTCCCAGAGACCTCTGGCTGAAAAGACCAAGCTCTGAGGTAAACCATAAGGCCTAGCTCCATCACTGACAAGTTCCTGTGGGAGGGTCAAGTGGGGAGGTTACTGTCCAAGCCCCACTTAGGACTCCCAGACTGCTCCTCAGAGAACTGATTTTGATGCAGATGAAGAAAGAACAGCTTGCCTGACCTGGAGGCAGTGGTTCTCAAGCACAGATCAGGATATTGGGAGGTGAGTTGTAAGTTTCTAATGATAGTGGTAGCTTAGAAGTTTGAGGATGATTTATCTTTCTATTTTATGATAGATTAGAGTGGATTCAAGGTCATCACCAAAAGAGGTTCTCATTCACTTGAATTCCAATATCCTTTTTTGAGTGGAAAGGAAAAGAGTGAGTGACTGGGTGCTCTGCAATATGCTCAGGCTAACTCGTGATGCTTCCCCCGAACTATTAGGAATTGTAGTCGGGCTTTATTTCCCCAAGAAATTTTTGTTTCACCACAATCTTAATTCACGTCATAAAAGCATGGCTTGCAAACAAACATCAGGGGTTATGTGGCTCCAAGTGGAAAACAATTAAGAATAGCTGCTGAAAAAGCTCCCAGAAGTGGTCAACTGAGCATTTCCAATGAATAGGTGTGGGGAGTAAGTCATCTTCTATCTATTAAGATCTGAGGGACAGACTCTGGGATAGCACAGAGCAGAAAGGGAATTTAGATAGGGACTAGCAGCTTAAAAGCACCTATGTGATCTCATTTAACTCTTAAAACAATGCTTAGAGGAAAGATTATTTTGTATTCTCATTTTACAGACCAGGAACCTGAACCACGATGAAGTTAAATGACTCACCGAAACTAGTTAGTAAGAGGCAGAGCCCACATCGGTACCCACAGGCTAGAGGCATTATAGGACATATTTTACAAATGAGAAAACTAAACAGCAGAGACTGAAAAAACTTATTCAAGGCTCAGAATTAGTGGCAAAACTAAAACCAGAACACAGGTCTTCTCCTAAAAGATGTTCTCCATGAAAGTAGAAAACCTAAAGCGTCAAGTTGAAATTTGTAATAAAAGAAATTTTATTACTTCCATCATGGAAAGCACAAAAAGGAAGAAACAAAGAAAATCTTAAAAAATCTAACAAAGCAGCCAAGCTACAGGCTCCTGACAGTTGTATTATAACAATACTACTGCAGGGCTACGTTACGACTTTTGTAGGTTCTATTCACTTTTGCCTTAGTTGGCCCAGCCTCCACAAAAAGTATTGAAAATTACATTTTATGACTGTATTGGAATAAAAATGAATATAATACCAGCTGGACTCATTATTATGTATTCATTATTATTATTATATTTATTTTTCTTCTGATTTTAAAAGAAATTAAAACTATTGAGGACCCCAGGCCCTGTGCCTACATGGCTCTATGTATTTGGCCAAGAATCCAGGCTCTATTTCACTCCACAACTTGATCTCTTACCATAATATATTCCACCACCCCAACGCTGATGTAACTCATGCCTTTTCTAGTAAAAGATGAATTCCTGTACTAGCCTATCCAGATATCTAAAATTGCTTCATTAGAGATGTATTTCCTTAGTCTCTGTTAAAACTCAACTACTCTGGTAAGAGTTCCCAAATAATTATAGTTGCTATGTATTAAGGCTTTATGCTGTGCTAAACACTTGTTGTCAAGATTATGCCTAATACTTAAAGCAATCCTGTACATTAGAAATTTGGATCATTTTACACAGGGATCAGCAACCTATTGCCCATGAACTAAATGTGGCCTTCTGCCTGTTTTTGTAAATAAAGTTTTATTGGAGCACAACCATGTTCTTTCCTTTACATATTGTCTATGGTTGCTTTTCCACTACAAAGGCTGAGTTGAGTAGCTGCGACAGAGATCACATTGCCTGCAAAGCCTAAAATACTTACTATCTGGCCCTTTACAGCAAAAGTTCTCCTTGCTTCTCTAATACTAAGGCGTGATAGTTTTTCAGTTGCTATCTTTTTGATCATCTCAAAGGGTGTCAAAGTAGTCTCAGTAAATATTACAGACAAGATCAAATTTATTTTGAATTTTTGATTGATCAATTAATGCATTCATTCTTTTACTTCAACAATAGATATAGAAGGGGTAAATATTTTGCAATCAAATAAAGATTGGGTATCACTTGCCCCCAAGAAGGTGCAATATCTGGGTTTAGGGGACCTTTGAGTAATCTCATTTCACGTGAGGTTTGGAGATATTTAAGTCAAGGAGGTGAGAAAACTGCAAAGATGTAGCTCTAGTGCTTCTGCATGTGCATTTAAGCCACAAGCAATTATTCTTTTCACTTCTTCACACATGTGGTGCTACATTCTCAGGATAAATGTCAAGAGATGTGAATTGTGTGGGGATGCAAGAAAACGTCTCCAAATTCATCGTTCTTGTTAGAATGAAATTGGAGGATGGCACAGTGCAAATTGCCAACATGAGCCTAGACAGAGTACGTTGTTCTATCCTAATTGGATCTTTAGGGTGGGAAGGGGGGTCATGAGAGAAGAAAGTAGCTCCGTGCCATTCCCTAAATGTGAGTTCAGAGGATAGGGAGCTGGGTTGGTGAGTCCTAACCAGTTTTGTTTCCTCTTCCCACTTGACTGAGAAGGGATCCAGAAACTAGAAACTTCTCTTCTCAGCTGTCCAAGGCTGAACTGAAAGCTCCCCTTTCTATGATGGCTTCTCCACCTGCAGTGTATGACCCTATAGAGTTTTACCATGTCTAGGTAGGTCATGCTTTTCTCATTCAGTCATTCCTTCCTTTAACAAGAATTTATTTGGTTCCATATTTGTGCCAGGCACTGTTTAGGAGCTGATGACATAACTGGGGAGCAAGACAGTCATGATCCTTGCAATCATTGAGAGTTGAGAGACAGTCATTAAATAAGCAACTACATGTGTTATGAAACGGGAAGTAATAGGTACAATGGAGTGTGACTTAACATGATCTGTGGGACCGGAAGACTCTAGAGATAATTGGCTACTAACACTTATTTGGGAGGATTGGGCCCCAGGAGACTCACCTACTCTCCCACCTAGATCAGTGCAGTGAATATTGTAACTTGCCTCCTTGCATCCATTTTACCCTTTCCTCATTATGTAGAGCCATGTGGTTTGGGTAAGATGGACAGGCACCAAGCTCGAGTGGTAGCCTTCCTCTGGCACAGTAATTAGTTCAGGGGTATCACATGACCTGGGTTGATTGTATCTGAGAGAAGCCCAGGACTTTTGCTCCAAGGCCAGGATGACCATATGATGCTGTGGGAAGATAATGAAACCTGGGACTGCCACCCACTTACTACCACCAGACAAGCAGCTAGCCACCTTCCTTGCCTGATCCCCAGTTTACTTTCTACCTCACACTTTTGTTTGTGCTTTATCCTTCTCTCTGCTCATCTAAATCTTATTCAAGACCTGTAAAGTCTAGTTCAAAGCCCTTCCCTGAGGAAGTCTCCAACCCTTTCTCACACCCACCCCTTGAAATTCCACCACTAATGTCACTTCATTTTCCACTTTAAATTCCCCAGAAGGAGATATTCCCTGGGTGGTGAATGGACATACCATTTTGCTGTGAATTAGCCCATGACTAGTCTACAGGCATTAGGTTCCAGATCACCTGATGATGAGGTCTGGGGTCCTCCCCGAGGAGGGGTGAAGATGGCCTCTCCTCCCTGGCAGCAGGGAGCCGTGTAAAAGTGTCAGAGCTGACCTAACTGGCTGTCTGGAGACCGGGGTTCCATTCTGCTTCCTCTGTAATAATAACTCCAGCAACAAACGCTTGGTATCACCCTGTGGTTCATAAACTAGTTTAACGGGTATTATTTTTCTTGACCCTCGAAGCAATGTCACGAGATAGAGGTTAAGCTCCACTTTATAGATGAGGACACTGGGGTTCCAAGATGCTAGTGACTTTCCCAAGGCGCCAAACTGAGAAGTGGCAGGAATGGAATGAGAAGCTAGTCAGTTCCTCTGTCTCAGAGGCCCGTGTTCTTTCTGCTACTGCCTCACCACTTATCACTTTGAGTTTCGGTGTTCTCAACTCTCATAGGAGAAAAATAACAACCTGTATTGCAGGATTTCGGGGAGGATGAAGGGCGAATGCGGATTTGAAAGCATTTTGAGAAGTACAGAGCAGTCTGCAACACGGTGGGAGGTGGGAGGGAAGGGCAGGGAGTAGTGTTATAAGGGACAGGCCCTGAGAAAGCTTCCCATTTTTTTGTCTCATTTCCACAAGGATGGCTAAAAGTGAGGAAAGGAGTTCCCAAAATTTCTTTGGATGGCTTCTCAGCAAGATGAACTTCTCAAAGGTGATCTGGAACCTAACGCCTATAAATCAATCACTGGCTAATTCACAGCAAAACAGTATGTCCAGTCACCACGCAGGGGGATATTTCCTGAGCAAATATTCCCTGCCAACCTGCTTTTGGAGGTGGAGGAAGCTGGAGCAGGAGATCCTTTGTCTTCTGCCCTGGTGAAGACTTAGATTTTTTGGCACGAGGCAAGTCAGCCCTAAGATGCCCTCTATAACAGAAAGGGACAACAGTTCCTCTGCTTTGCCACCTCCCTTTCCTCTGGGTTATTTCCTCCTCCCCTTAATCTGTTCCCCCAAGGCTCAGGAGTTGAGTGGAGGGAGGGAGGCAAACCAGGAAAAAAAGATCATTAGTACAGCCAGAATCAAGGAATGGTGACCCAAGAGGAAGACTTCAGGGTAGGGGAGAATGTAAAGCCCACCTCCTGCTTGCCAGCCCAGTCCCCAAGCAAATCTCCCCATACTCGATGCCTCCATCAGAATGACCAGCATGTCATGCCACCCTCCTTATGGAAACCAAGGACCAGAGCATCTCAGAACTGGGAGGAATCTTAGGGACTACTTAGTCCAGGCCCAATTTACAGATGAGGATACTGATGCTCCAAGGGTTATGGTGACATGTCCCAAATTTGTGGAGGGCTGGGATTAGGAACCAGGGCTCCTAAGGCAGGGTTTCCCAAGCTGTGCCTTCTGCTACCCTTGAGGTCTGTAGCAGTGCCTCAGTGTATTTCTAGGGAGCTTAGAGGAAGATCTAGGGGGTGGGAGGATGGGGCAGGTGGTGATGGGGCAGAGGCTATGGAACTCCCCTTCCTTTAGGGAGGCTTCAACTCTATGCATTAGAGTTATTTATGTACTTGTTTGTTTCAAGATTTTGTTTCATAATAGGCAACCACTGCTTAAAAAAGAAAAAAACGATTTTGGAAACTACTGCTCTTTACCCAACTTCTCATTAACTAATGTACCAGGAAAGATCATTTTGAAATTGAGGCTTGCAAACCTCCCACTTCACCACGCACCTTTGCCAACACTGCATCCCTAACTGACAACATTCACTTTCAAGCCCCCTACCTCTCTGCCCCTTACTCATCTCCTGCCCCCTCCTTCTTGTCTCTTCTGGTCCTTTTCAACACCTCCCCAATACCTCCTCATCCACTTTTTCTGTTTTCTTTTTATTAATTGTCTCCTCCACACTATGGTATCATTTAATCATCATAAAATCTGTTGGGGGGACAGATTATTGTGCCCATTTTCCAGATGAGAATCCTGAGGTTGCAAGAGCTACTCCTTGGCCCCTCTGAACTTGGCCAGGGTGGTTCCCTGTTGGTCCATCTACATCCTGGAAACAGAGTTATCTGATTTTCTTGGCCTCATGTACCTGGAGAGAGAAGGAATCCCAACTAGCTCTCCTGGGGGAGATACAGCTCAAATACACATTTTTTGAGAACTTCTCCAGTGTCAGGTACAGCATTAGGCCATTTGATGTGATGAAAAAAGCATTACCTTTGGAAACTCAATCTCTGCCCTGCTCTTAGTAGCTGTATAATCTTGCCCAAGGCACTTGACCTCTCTGAGCCTAAGTTTTCTCATCTGTAAAATAGGGATAATAATATCTATTTTACAGACCTCTGAGGAGAGTGTATAAAAAACGCCTTAGATGTAGTAGGAACTTAATAAATGATGATTATTATTATAATTGTTTTGCATTTGATATCTCGTTTAAAATATCACAATAATTCTGCAACTTAGGTTTCATTTCCTATTATGTACTTGTGAAGACCAAGGTTCAAAGCCTGAGTAACTTCACAATAACAGAGCAACTAAAGAGTCAAAGCCAGGAGGCCCTGTCCAGGGCCAGCACTGCTTCCACTGCCTTGCCCACAGATGCTCTACGGCAATCTTGGACTCCTTTCAGCCATGGGAGGTGTACCACATAGGCTGCCCACAGATTAGGTTGCTGGTGGGAACCCAGGGTTTTGAAAAGCTCTGCCATGTCCTCCCCGACCTCACTTCCCCTAAGTTCTGCTCTGGTCACCATTTCCGTTCAGAGAGTGGTTTTTAAAGTGACAGCCTATTCCAGGACTACCTGCTTAGAACCAGGTGCTTCCTAAAAATACAAACTTCTAGTGAACTCAAGAGGGTATCACTAAGGCTGAACACTTAGTGATACCAGCTGGCGGGGAGGAAAGAATTGGTAGCGCTGACTGACTATGTGGTCTTGGGCCGGTCACTTCAGGCAGGCCTGTGGCACACATAAACAAACCAGCTATGCCAGCTCCACAGAGGGAGACCTCATGGTGGTACCCCACGAGTTTGATGACCACAGAGATGTTCCTAACTTATGGGGCTCCTAGTCCCTTCTGAGAGCCCTGAGGATAGTAAAATCTTCAAACACTAGAATACCTGTGACAGGCACAGAAAAGGCCTCAGTCTTTCATGACTTTAAACATAAAGTGCCTACGGTATGAGTTGTTTCCTAAGTAGAGACTGATTGGATTGCTTGGGTTAAGACAAAAAATTCAAATGTTTATTTCCATGCATAATCATTTAAAAAATATTTTCCTGTCATGGCAGAATCTGGATTAGAATACAGGTCTTCCTGATCCCCAACAAGACTTCTTTCAGCCCTTCCTTCCCTGGGACAGCCAGAAGGGAGTCCATCCCTAGTCATCCCTTCTCTTTTCCCTCCTATCTCTTCCTGCCCTCTGATTCAGAGACCACAGGATGTAAAAAAGCAATATTAGATGAAGGAGAAGAGTCTTCTCAGTTGAGCCAGAAGCTCAGAGTGCACTCTGGAGCCTGGAGCTACACCTCAGGATGAGGAAGGCAGTCAGGAGAACAGGAGGATCTGGCTGGACTCACCTGTGAGCTGGCAGAGGAGAAAGATGAAGACGAAGCACGCTGGGGAACCAAGCATATTGTTCTCTGGATGTCAGTCACTAAAATGAACTCACATAGCGCTCACATCTCTTCCCCAGCTGGGGTTTTATGTAGGAGGAGTCACAAGACTAGTAACTGAGAATGAGTCATGTCTAATGTTCTGCCTTGCTTATTTCAGTGGCTAGTATGTAATAAATGATCAATAAAGGAGGGAAAAAATGAATTGCATTCCAAAAGTGATGGAACTCCCATTTTACAGGGAAGGAATCAGAGAGTCTAGGAATTGATCAAGGCCATATAGGTAGGCTTTTCTGCTATACCATATGACAGTGCAGAGATTCAGACAGAGTAAATGGAAGGAAATAGAAGGCTAGATGAGGGACAAAAGAGAAGCACTGGGGATAATAACACTTTTCTAAGTGTCAAGAGTACATGCATTCCTTTACTTATGCCTCATAACAACCCTGTGAGTAAGATACTACTATCATCCCTATTTTACAGAGGAGAAAATGAAAGCTGAGTATATTACAGCAAACTTAAAAAGTTTTTTTAGTCAAAAGAAACATTATGAGAGTAAAAAGGCAAACCATATAGTGGGAGAAGATATTTGTATCTTCTTTGTACACTTATTCCACAAGAGTCTTATATCTATCATATATAGAGAAGTCCTACATATCAATAAGAATTAGGCAGACAACTCAATGGACAAGAGAGTCAAATAAGCACTTCATTAAAAAGGGTATCCTGGGGCTGGCCAGGTGGCGTAGTGGTTATGTACGCACGCTCCGCTGTGGCGGCCTGGGATTCGGATCCCAGGCGCGCACCAATGCACTGTTTGTCAAGCCATGCTGTGGTGGCATCCCAAATAAAGTGGAGGAAGATGGGCATGGATGTTAGTTCAGAGCCAGTCTTCCTCAGCAAAAAGAGGAGGATAGCACAGGACTGATCATCCTCACACACAAAAAAATTTTTTTAAGTAAAAAAAAAAATAGATAGATAGATAGATAGATAGATAGATGGATAGATAGATAGATAGATAAAAAGGGTATCCAAATAGCAAATAAAGAGAAACCACTAAGAAAGTAATGCAAATAGAAATAGTTAAGAGGTCAATAGAGCCACTAAAATGGAATTCTAGAAACAAAAATTATGTTGATAATTTTGCAAAAGAAAGGAAAAGAGAAATGGTGAAACCAAAAGGAGAGTGAGCAAGCAGAAAACATAATAAAATGGTAGACCTAAATCCAGCTATATCAATAATTCCACTAATAAGTAGACTAAACACTCCAATTAAAAAGCAAAGATGTTTTAAATGGATAAAAACAAAACCGTATGCTGCCTACAAGAGTTGCACTTTAGGTAAAAAGATACAGCTGGGCTGAAAGTAAATGAATGGATAAAGATATATCATTTAGCCACTCCGCATAAGAAGACTGGATTAGCTCTATTAATATCAGATAAAGGAGACTTTAGGACAAAGTGATAAAGAGGAGCATTTCATAATAATAAGGGGATCAATTTATTAGGAAGGCATAATAATCATAAATGTGTATCACTGGTAACAACAGATCTTCAAAACACAAGAAGCAAAAAATTTCTCTGGGATAAATGCCCAGGAGTATGATTGCTGGGTAATATGGTAAATGTATGTTTAGTTTTTTAAGAAAATGCCAAACTATTTTCTAGAGTTGCTGTAGCATTTTACATTGCCACTAGCAATTTATGAAAGATTCAATCCTCTGCAGCCTCATCAGCATTTGGTATTGTCACTATTTTTTATTTTAGCTGTTTTAATAGATGCATAGTGATATCTTATTGTGATTTTAATTTTCATTTCCCTAAAAGCTAATGATGTTGAACATCTTTTCAGTGCTTATCTGCCATCCATGTATCTGCATGAAATATCTGTTCATGTCTTTTGTCCATTTTATAATCAGATTCTTTGGTTTTTCGCTGTTAATTTTTGAGAGTTCTTTATATAGTCTAGATATACTTCTCTGTGAGACAAGCTGTTTGAAAATATTTTCTCCAATCTGTTGCTTGTCTTTTCATCTTATTAATAGAGTTTTTTTGCAGAGCAAAAATTTTAAATTTTGATGAAGTCCAATTTATAATTTTTTTCCTTTTATGGAATTTGCTTTTGGTGTCACGTCTAAACACTTTTCACCTAATCCTAGGTCTCAAAGCTTTTCTCCTATGTTTTTTCCTAGAAGTTTTAGGGTTTTATATTTCACATTTAAATCTTGGATCCATTTTTAGTTAATTTTTGTATATGGTGTGAAGTTTAGATTAAGGTTCATTTTTTGCCTGTGGATGTCCAATTGTTCTAGCATCATTTGTTGAAAGGACTATCCATCCTTTATTGAATTGCTTTTGTACTTTGTCAAAAATCAGTTTGTCATACTTGTGTGGGTATACTCTGGGATTATCTATTCTGTTACATTGATTTATATAATATAATTTTTAAAATCTTAGGGCTTAACTCTTCCATTTTGTTGTTTGTTTTCTCTTTGTTTCTTCTGGTTTTTTGTTCCTCTGTTTTACTTTCCTGGCCATTCTTTAGATTACTTAAATATTTTTTATAATTCCATTTTGATTTATCTATAGTATTTTTTGAGTGCATCTCTTTGAATAGATTTTTTTAATGGCTGTTCTGGGCATTACCTTATACATATATAACTTATGGTCTACTGGTGTTGACATTTTTACCAGTTCAACTGAAGTGTAGAATCCTTACCTGTTCTAAATTCCTTTATCATCCCTCCTTAATAACTTGTCTTAAATACATCCTCTACATATGGAGAGAACCATATCAGGTAATGTTATAATTTTTGCTTCAATTGTCAAACATAATTTAGAAAACTCAGGAGAAGAAGGATAGTCTATTATATTTACCCAAATTTTTACTCTTCCTATTGTTCTTTCTTCTTTCTATTTCAAGATATTCCTTTAGCCATTCCTTTAAGATAGATCTGCTGGTGACAAATTCTGTTAGTTTTCCTTCACCTAAGAGTGAGTTGATTTCACCTTCATTTCCTGGGTATAGAATTCTAGGTTGACAGTTCTTTTCTTTCAGCACTTGAAGAATGCTACGCCAGTCCTCATGCACTTAACGGTTTCTAACGAGAAATCAGCAGTCATTCAAATTGTTTTCCCCTGCAGTTAATGTGTTGTTTCTCTCTAGCTGTTTTTGAGATTTTTTTCTTTGTATTATTTTCAGCTGGCAAATTATAATGTGTCTTGGTAAGTGTTTCTTTGAGTTTCTCCTGTTTGGAGGTCATTTGGTTTCTTGAATCTGTAGCTTTATACCTTTTGCCAAGTTTGGGGAAATTTCAGTACTTCTTCAAATACATTCTTTTTAACCCCACATTCTTATTTTTTGTCCTCTCCTTCTGGGAGTCTGATGACATGAATGTTAGATCTTTTGTTGTTGTCCCGTAGAACTCTGAGTTTCTGTTAATTTTTTTTCTGACTATTTTCTCTTTATGGCTCAGATTGGTCATGTTCTATCGTCTATCTTTAAGTACATTGATTCTTTTCTTTATCATCTCCATTTTGCTATTAAGCCCATCAAGTGAGTTTTAAATTTCAATTATTGCATTATTCAGTTCTAAAATTTTCCTTTGATTCTTCTTTATATCTTCCATTCTTTTGCTAAGACTTTCTAGTGGTTTTGTTTTTTTGTCTCCAGTGTGTTCATAATTACTTGTTGAAGCATTTTTAGGATGGCTGCTTTAAAATCCTTGTCAGATAATTCCAGCATATGTCATCTTGGCTTTGGTGCCTATTGATTGCCTTTTTAAAATTTAAGTTGATATTTCCATAGTTCTTGCTATGATGAGTGATTTTTGACACTGTGGTGGTGGAGTGAGTGACCTTATTATCACTGATTGTGAAAATCCAGACTCTCCACTTGACCTTCCTCAATACCATCCCAAGCAAGAAGGATGAGTAGTGCCTCATTACCTCAGGGTGGGGATGGAAGTGCAGTCTTCCCACTCAACCTCTTCTGATATCACCCCAGTGGGGAGGGGGAGGGATTCCTCCTTACTGCCAAGGGAGAGTGGAAGTCTAGGCTTTCTATTTGGCCTTTGCTGATGGAGTGAGACTTCACATTTTTCCAATGTTATTTGGCTTGAATAGGGTAGCTATTGTTTAAAGGCTTCTGTCTTGCTAAGCTGTCTCTTTTCCAGTCTTTTGCCAAGAGAGAACAGGCTTTTCTTGGGATTGGCATTTCAGGGTTACAGTTTTGTCTAACACACAGCCCAGGATATATTGGTAACAAAAAACAAACAGGGAACTAACTGTCACATCATTCCTCAGACCTAGAGGTCCATAGCCAGCCCTTCTTTTATCCACCTTTTAGAATCTCCTTGTTTGTATTTTATATATAATGTCCAGGGTTTTTATTTGTACTTAGTGGGAAAAATAGAAAGAAATGTGCCTATTTCATCTTCTCTGGGATGAAAAGTCTAATCATGTGTTTTAATATCCTTTGTCTCTTCTGAGTCCATTGAAATAATGGTGAAATCTTTAAAAAGGACTTTCTGTTAATTGGTGAACTGAATCGAAACAGATACTTCCCTTACCTGACTTGAAAAACACAGTAAAGACAGATGAAATATTTTCAGATGTATTAATTACTCAAACTTGCTCAAAATTAAGATAGCAACTTCCATGAATGAGAAATGATGCAGAAACCCATAATACATGAGGAAAAGGGAGCATATATGCATCTGAAAGGAACTTTGATACCAAAATCATACAAAAACAAGAAAAGAAAATTATAGAACAGTATCTTATGAACATAGTTGCAAAGATCCTAAATGAAACATTAACAAATCAAATTCATCAGTGTATAAAAATACACCACAACCAAATGTCACTTATCCCAGAAATGTGAGAGTGGCCCAACATTATAAAAATTTATCAGTGTAATCTATCACATTGACTAAAGGCAAAAAAACCTATGATCATCTCAGAAGATATAATAAAAACTTTGATAAAATTCAGTACTCACTAATAATTTCAAAAATTTGTAGGAAACTACAGTAAACATTATACTTAAATGCTGAGCCTTTAGAAGCAATAC